ATATATATATATATATATATATATATATCAGGATCATTTCACAGCAGTGTAAGTTACACTCTCAATCTTGTCTATATATATATATTTATAGGGTTTTCTTCTTCTTATGATGCATGACACAAATTGTCTCATGCAACACACAAAAAAGTAGGTGGAACCAATTTTTTATTTTCTCTCTCCTATTTTTAGAACCCATTTGGATGAGCTTTTTTTCTTCAAAAGCTGCTTTTTTTAAGAAAAAAAAAACAATTCTCAAAAAAAGTCTGTTTGAATGATTGCTTCTAAAAAAAGCAGAAGTAATAAAAAAGTCAAAAATCTACTTTTTTCGGAAGCTAAAAATTTTAAGTTTTAAAAAAAGCAGAAGTCAAAAGCCAAATAATTTTTTCAAAAATCAAATATTTTTTTTAAAATCTAAATAGCTGTAACTTTTATAGGAAGTACTTTTAAAATAAGGAAGTGATAAAAAAGACTTTCTTAAAAAGCCAATATAAACGAGCTCTTAATGGGTTCCACTCACTTTTTGTGTGTTACATGAGACAATTTGTCGCCTCTTAATGGGTTCCACTTACTTTTTGTGTGTTACATGAGACAATTTGTCGCATGCAACATGAGACAAATAAAAAAAAAAAAAATATATATATATATATATATATATATATATATATATATATATATATATATATATAGGTAAGATCCTTTGACACCAGTGTCAAATTTGAAGTTTGACACCTCATCCGAAAGTCATTAGATCAAAAAAGATCAATGGTGTCACATGCTTACAAATCAGAGTCGTTGATCTTTTTTGATCCAATGACTCTCAGATGAGGTATCAAATTTCTATTTTGACACTGGTATCAAAGGATCCTACCTCATATATATATATATATATATATATATATATATATATATATATATTACACTCTCGTTGCTTGTTGTATCTAAGGATATAATATTATGTTTATATTTTTATACTTATTTTATTTATTTATTTTTAACACTGTTCATTAAAATTTTAGGAGAAAAAAATTGTGAATGCTAATTGAAATTCTAATATAATATGTTGACGACGCACAAGTATGAAAAAATAGACATAATATTCTATCTCATAATATTGTCATATTTAAAAAGGGATAGAATATTGTGACACCCAAGTTATGTTACACCCATGTGACACCCAGTCAATCTCACCGTTAGATCGCTTATGTTGATCTAACGGTTATATTTAAATCCATCTTTGTATGGTCATGATTTTCCAAATTTAATATTTTATATTTATTTCTACCTTTGTATGGTTATGATTTCCCATATTTAATGCTTTCACTTTAAATTTGGGAAATCATGATCATACAAAGATGGAAATAAATATAACCGTTGGATCAACATAAGCGATCTAACGGTGAGATTGACTGGGTGTCACATGGGTGTAACATAACTTGGGTGTCACAATATCCTATCTCATTTAAAAATAACGCTAATGATAAGTATACATAATATTATTTATAACAAAAAAACAAAAATAATTATACTTGAATTTAATATTAAATTAATTACATAATATTTCAAATATAAATTAACTATTGTTTAATGTAAGATTAATGAATTGGGTGGTTGTGTTGAATTTTCTTTACGGTTGTTTAAGGTGTTTAACTAAGGGTTTTATAAGAGTTATGTTGTAGAAAAAGTGATTGTGCAATATTATAGAGATTCGTTTTGCGTGCTTTAGTTTTTTTTTTTTTTTGCTTTAAAAAGTGCAAGTCGCACAAAATATTGTATGTGTAAAAAACTTTTTTGTGTCATGTTAAAGTACAAAACAAAAACCCTTAAACTAATTACTCCTCCACGAGTAGTGGTTTATCTCTAGAGATTCCGACAGCACATACAAGATGTGGAGTAATATATAAAAATGAAATATTCATAAATAAGAACACGAGTCCCTTATTTGTACGAAGTATGAACAAATATGGAGAACATTCTGTTTACCAAAAAATAAATAAATAAGAGTTTGCTTTTTCTGTAATTACTGCAGATAACTTATTTGCAGTAAGCCCAATACGACGTCATTTTGAGACAGAAATCATGATATTTTTGTAATTTTAATTTATTTCAGGGTTATTATAGTCTTTATAATTTAATTTTTTAATTTTTCAATCCTAAAATGACGTCGTTTTGAAAGTAAATGCAGATAATTTATCTGCATTAACTGCAGAAATATTTAAAAAAAAATAAATATATGGAGAACATTCTTGAATATATTTATGTATGGAATAAAACGGTTATTGCAATTTATCATGTTGCGAATTGAGAGAATTACATAATGAGACATTATTATACGTAAAGGAGGAAAATATTGATGATATAGATATATATTTCTTTTTGGTATTCGATGATATAGATATATTTTTTATTTTATTTTTTTGTATGTTACAGGGAATAGAACACACAACCACACACTTACACACACCCACACCACTAGGCTAGCCCTAGTGGATTTGATGATATAGATATTTTGAACTATTGTAAACATGAGTCACCTAAAAAATTCAAACCAAATTACAAAAAAAAAAAAAAGCAAACCAAAATTTTAGAACAAACTATATGTATAATTATATTATTCATGTTATTTTTTAAATATGATGTACTGATTTGTATTATGATAATTCATCGAGGGGTGTTTGGTACAAGCTTTTTTTTTTTAAATTGATGAAGAAGTATGAGTGGGTATTGGAAAATACCATATTTGGTACAAGGTTTACAAAAATAATTCTAGTAAACTATGTTGTCCATTTATTCAAATTTGTGTTGAAATTGTAAAGAAAAATACTCTTCCAAAATACCACTTCAATGTGGTATTTTGGGATAAGGGCAAGTGAAAAAATGAGATGGACCAAAATGACCTCCCATCATATAAAGTCAGTTTGTACATATCTCGTGTTGTTTTCGTAATTTATACTTATTATCTCATCAATATTTTATCTTCAACCAAACTTAAACTCAGGAAATTTAATTTAATTTTTTCGATAACATTTTGGCATACCAAACAATTTTTTTTTAACTTTTCTACCAAACTCTTTTTTCTATCATATTCCTAGTAATTATATTTCCCTGATAAAAAGAAATTATCCTCTACCAAATGTCTTCTAAAATTTAAATTGTTTCTAAATAAACTTAAATGTAATAAGGAATATGTTATTTTATTTATTTATTTATTTTGTCTATCTATGTCTATTATTTTCTAATACCATTAAAATAGAATCTCAATAAAAGATAAAAAAATAAAAAAATTAAAATTCTGATATAATAATATTCGAAAGTAATACATAAAAAAATTTAATAGATAAAATAAACTATCACAAATAATAATAGGAGAATACATAGATATGTCTCAAAAATTAGGAACAGTGGTCAAAATATCACTGTTCATCAACTTTTTAACCTAAATGCCACGCGAATAGTGTTATTTCTCAATCTGCAACGGAAGCAAAATCGCTACCCGGTGTAGCGAACTCAGTTTGCTGACGTGTCATGTTTTTAGTGGACACCAAGTTCGCTACACAGGATAGCGAACTTCGTATATATATTTTTTTTTCACTTGGTACTTGTTAACCACTAGAAATGTGATACGTCAGCAAACTGAGTTCACTACCCGCTGTAGCGAACTTGCCCCCGTGGCAGATTGGAAAATAACACTGTTCGCGGGATATTTAGGTAAAAAAATTGATAAAAAGTGATATTTTGGTAAGTGTTCTCAAAAATTACTCATGAATGGTCCCGGAGCCACTTTCCTATTTTTTTTTATTGTTTTTTCCCACTCGAGAGCGGTAGGATTGACGTGGCATTGAGATCCGCGTTGAAACAGGACAAGAAGTACTCAAATCGCGAGGTTGACGTTGATCTAATGACTGAACAAATGATGACACCCTTCAAACCCACGCTCCGTATCATGAGCCTGTAAAAAGCCCATCTCTTCTAACTTTTTCTTTGCTTTTCAAATTGAAAATACCGTACCCTCTCGTGGAAGTGGGTCCTACTCTGCAACCATTTGCTATATTTTCTTTTAATTATTACCATTTATTTTATCCGTAAGCTAAACACTATTTTCCGCTATAAAAAATTGTTCATCTAGTGACATTTTCTTTTAGATTTTAGATTTCACCTGTCCAAATGAGCCAAATAAGTTCGAATTCAGAAAATAAATATAAAGCTGAAATCGAATTAATAGGAATCATTAGGTTTACGATAACGACTAATATTAAAAAAAAAAAAACAATGATCCACTTGTCACTAAAAATTTATTACTCTTACAATTAATTTAATTATCGTTAATTTTTATTAATTCAATAATTATAATTTATTGAAAATTAATATGAGTCATATTTATTAATTAATTTTTAATTTTTAATAAATTATAACTGTTAGATTAACAAAAATTAACGATGATTAAATTGATTGTAAAAATAATATAATTTTTAGTGATAAATATATACTTCCCAAAAAAAATACTAATTTCCGTTGTTTTAAAAAAATAAAATCATGTACTAAATAAAAAATAAATAAACTAGGAACAAATCAGCTATAGTTAAGGTAAGGTGAGGTAATGTACTAAAAAAAAAAAGGTAAGGTGAGGTAATCATAGAAAGAGCACTTCGCATGTCTGCTATGTACCAAAAGCACAACAATGCCGGCGACGTGTCTGCCAGATCTCCGCCAACCACTCATCTTTGAAAAAACAATAAAAATAAATAAATAAATAAATAAACACGTTTAAGTAATGTTCTGTTTGGTTAATGGGAAAATCTATTGTGTTCTTCTTTCCTTTTACTTCTAATCAGAGTATCAGACAAACAAACAGTAAAGACAGAAACAGCAAGAAACAAATAAAATGAAATGAAAAGTTTCGATTAATATGAGAATCCTATTATACATAAAAAGTTAACAGCAACTGCGAGAACAATAGTCAGAAACTATTGAAAAAAATAAAAAATAAAAACAAACAAAGGCTTGTTATTTTTTTTGTTAAATATAATCAATTTACACTAATCACGCTTGTTATGGTTATAATCATCACCACCAACAGCAACAAACTCATTCATCATGTCAGATACTATCATCATCTTTCGCCGGCGATTCTCTAAAACGCGGTCGCCGGATCAATCATCCTCCGGTGAAGCAGGGGCATTAAGGTCAAGATCTAACAGACTCTGATGTGGGACCCGCTCGTAGTTCACGACGGAGGAGGAATCGGAGTCGCTCTGTGCTCCGCCACTAACTGCCACCGGGAGAATCTCAGCACGAGCAAACGCGTCGAAGAACAACATCGGTCGAGCCACCGGGAACATCAGCGCGCCGGCGACGGCGAATGACGGAGGAGGAGAAGAGGATTCAAGGGTGCTGCTCTGGCTGGGACTGCGCGTGGAGTTGTTCACAATGAACTCGGATGCGTTGGGAAAATTGGTCTTCGCCCTCGCGCCTCGGAACTCACGCGCCGCCGCGTCGTACGCACGCGCCGCTTCCTCTGCTGTGTCATATGTGCCTAGCCAGACCCGGGCCTTCTTGCCAGGGTCGCGGATCTCGGCGGCGTAACGGCCCCATGGTCTCTTCCTGACGCCTCTGAATCGGATCTCTGTGGCGAGGTGGGTCGGGTTGGGTCCGGCGAGAATAGCGGTGGCACTGCCCATCGGAGCCATTGTTTTGAGTCTTCTATTCACAGACAAGAACAATCTGAGAGAATATTATTCTAAGATGGAGACAATGTTTGAGGAACGAAATGAAGTTTGAGGGGGCGCTTTTATAGCTCAAGATGGAGAGAGTATGGGCGTGCGTGTCCGCGTGAAAAAGCCACGCTCCTTTTTTTGTTGTTACACAATGTGAGCACTTGCGTGCATATTTATTTCTCCCACTCAACAATATACTCCTTTATTAGTCTAAACTCTTGTCACTTCTTTTCTTTTTAGATTTACAAAATTAAATTATTGTTTTCTTAACACATGACAAAATGTTCATATCACATATCTTATTTTTATCTCTTTAAATAATTTCCCGTCATTATTATAACGTAATTCTCTCATGCTTGACATGCATATTCATTAAGATGATGACTCATCACTAATTTCAGAATCTCTTTTGTGTATTTACATTTTTGCTTTAAAAGGAAATAAATTTTGGTCATTTAAATCATATACTCCCCTATATACCTCTCTGTACCCAGAGCATTTCATAAATGAACACACCGTCACCTCTTTTCTCCATATACAAGCAAAAATCACCATTCAAACACATAAATTGACACCTTTAGAGTTCCAATAGGATAGGATAAAAGTAAATATAATAAATGGGCTAGATAAGAGTAAGAAAAGATAAGAGCTTCATAAACTCATATCATATCTTGTGTTTGATGTGCATTAGTATGATATGATTCTATTATCTCATCCTATGTTTGAAAAGGATCAAATAGTATCGAGATATGATACAAATAGACAAAATTACCTTATATAAAAAAATTATATATATATATATATATATATATATATATATATTAAATTGATTTCTAAGCTATTTTTTTGTTTGACTAATTTATATAACAGTTATTATTTTAATTTTTTTAAAAATTAAAAAACATAATTTTGAATAAAATATATTCCAAAGCATAAAATCATTACCAAATTATAATCCATATATTAATATTTCCAAGCATATATTGTAATACCCCTGTTCTATACCGGTTTATTATCATTACATATGGTATTAAGCACAATTACAATTACAATAGTTGAATTTAAATATGGATAAATTTTTCTTTTTTGTTAATAAATATTTTTTTCACTTAAAACTCTTTTCGTAATTAGAACAATTCAAAACTATAATTATAACTCTTACATTAATTAGAAGCATCGTACATTGCTAAAATATAACATGTATTGCTTACAATTCATTACCACATAGTCCCCATATACTAACATGGCACAAAACTCACTTTATTCGTACTTGCACTAAACATACAATGTTGTTTTAGAAAAGAATATTGTCTAAATCTACTGCTAGTCCTATAATTTTAGTATGTTAAACTATACCTCTTGGAATTTTCGAAAAGGTATAACATTAACCATTTGGTTAAGTATAGCTGGAGTTATGAAACTCACGTGGTAAGTGCTTCAACCAAACTTCTAAAAATAAAACATTCAATTTAAATCTAAATTGGGATTGTTTTACTTACCCAATGATCCTAATCTTTTACTATGTTGTATATCTTTAAGTTAGCTTCGCGCAGGTCTAAACCGCACTCGATTTGGAGCTGGCTAGCTTAAGTTATGAAATTTCTACGAAAAGGTGTTGAAACTAACAGTAAGCTGGACCTGGTAGCGCCAAAGGACGAGTTCGCTGCTATTTTCTGGCACTAGGAGCGGAAAATACGGCGCCAGCATCGCCAAATTTCATTTTATCACTGTTTTATGGCGCTAACAGCGCGACCATGGCGCAAGGAGTGCCGCGAAACAAGGAACAACAACATGCTTTGGTATTTCGGCCATAATTAGAGTTACACTTGTCCAATTGACACCATCTTGGTTTTGTTGAAAAGATAAAAGAAAGATCTATAACTTTCATGCAGACCAAGATTACAAATCTACCATATAGGATTTGAAAAATGGATCGCAAGGCTAGATATTTTTATATTTGGATTGTTTCCTAACCAAATGTCTTCCTTTCACCTAATTGACATTTAACAATTTTATCATACTTGAATTCTAACTAATTCCAAGGCTTAATACATATACGATTGGCATCACAATATCAAAATAGGCTTAAGAGTTCATCATATAAACAACAATCCATGTTTACATCTATTTCCAAAGCATATAAATGGTTACAAAATACCTCACTTGGAACTTGACTATTACAAAATATATGATCGATGTCCTTTGTATGAATCAACGACATGAAAGATACAAGAGAACCATGACCATAGGCTAAGTCCCTCTATTCATCACATTACATATCATGTACCAAATGTGACTACAATATATAAACAACAAAATAGCCAACAACTGCGACATATAAAAGACTATGGTCTACATTGACCTCCTATCAATAGATGCTCATGCACCATTAGTGCCAGTACCTGAAAGGCGGATCCCATAATCATGTAGTGAGATAAACATCTCAGTAAATTAGGGGTCATTTGAGAATTTCTCCACCCCAAAGTTCACTTCAGGCATAACAGCTATAAACAGAATAGTACAAGATATATGTATTCAAGCAATGTATATGAATATCCATACAATCCCCACACGAGGTGAGATAGAAATCTCGTCAAGTCATTTCATTGGTCCATCAGCCATCAACAGAAGGCCCATATATCTAATTCCACTGGCCAGGGAACATAAGTGTATACATTATGCAAGAAACTTTGTCTTGCAACATACCAAGTATAAGACGATTCATCTTATACATCACTCACATAGTATGCAACACACCACACAATATGCCTTAGGGACTATATCTTGTGTAGAGCACAAAGTAAACACATATCATGCATTATATCACAATTCATTGCAATTCCATATACCACATAAATCACAACGCTTTCAGAGCTTGGTGGAACAGAAAAATGATAAATCCCAAGGTTCAAAAGCTTACATTTCTAAGCTCTCTACCAATATGATTTCCTTCATAAACAATCCGATCAGAAATGAATTTTTTGTGTATTAATTAGTCAGGCTGTTCATGCTGGAAAATTCATGTTTCCATGGACTAAATTGTGTTTCTATCTATTGGAATTTGATTAGAATAATTAAATAGTTAATTTAAAGTGTAAAATCTTGAGGGTTTTTTTATATAGCATTCGGCCCTTTGATGGAAAAAGGGTTAAGTTAATCATGATATTATGGAAGATTAGGGGTTATGTCTTAAATAGTGTGTTGAATTTTTGGTGTGGCATGAATTCTCAAGTAAGCACACATTGATAACAGACTAAAGTAATGAACTTTAGCATATTTGTAGCACTAAATTAGCCCTAATGGGTATTCATTGTTATTGATGGATAAGTCAGGTTTGAATCAAGTGACATTGGGCTTTCGTATCAGAGTTTGGAAGGTTGTGTTTAGCTATCTTGTATCATAAGTAAGCTTATTTTGGAAAGCTTTGATAGGTAAGCTTTTAGTTTAGAAGTTTTCTCCTTATTTGTTTGTTCTACCATAGTCCAGTATAGGTAATGGTTCAAATGAGTGTATGATTGGTTGTGTTAGATATTTGGTATGTGTTCATACATGTGCATTCATATACACAAGTATGTAAATGATGTGATGTATTTATTTCAAATAGACAAGTGTACAAGATATTATTATGTGAATTGTATAGTATCAAGTTATCAACTGGGAAGTACAAATTCTTCCATAATAATGACAATTGGGAAGTACAAATTCTTCCGTAACAATGACAAAAGGGAAGTATGACTTCTTCCATATTGATATCATGTAAGGAGTACAAATGCTTCTGTAATAATTCAGTTGGTATTATATTGACAAGATTACATGTTGTATTGTATGCTATATGTCTGACCTTTCATGCATAAAGTGAACTCTTGGATGGAGACTACTCCATAAACCCAGGATTTACTGAGATTCATTCTCACCCCGCATTAAGGGGATACATTTCAGGTACTTCATCATCAATAGATGAGCCCTTACAAGGCAAGGGACCAATGTAGAGAGCATAGAAGAGTTAGCATGAGTAGACACTTAGTCATTTTGGATGACTATATAGACATGTTTTGTAGTGCATGACGTACATGATCATGCATATTTATAGTTTATAATCATTTTGAGAGGCATGTGTTGCCGATGTACAGTTATGTATCTATGACAGGACTATGTGTATGTGTGTATGTTGTCAAGTCAAGTAGTTGATATTTGTAATAGCGTGGAGCCATATTAAGGATAGGTACATTGGTTGGACTTTTCTGTATTTCAGGACAAGATAAGATAGAGGGATTTAATCCTCAGGTTAGTCTAATTTACAATTGTTATGCTGTCTGTTAAACACTATATGAAATGGTATAAATTATCGTATTCGGATAGTTATTGGTCATTGATTATGATCACATGGAATTCAATTTGAAATCTTGTACAGGTATTAGACTATGCAGTTTATTGAAACAAGACATATAGATATAGCAAAGTGTAGGATATAATTAAAAAGAATATAAAGAGTCGTCCTGCGAAATTACATTGTGTAATTGAGAAAACTTTATTAAGTCTTCCATTATGATAATTAAGTTCGATGTGTTTTTATTACCATGTGTTAGTTAACAATATGATTTTCAAATTGGGGTGTTACATCTCCCATGTCTCCTCAACATCGTTGCTTATCTCCTCCATCGTTGGTTCACCATTGCTTTTCTTCCTCCTCCACCATTGGTTTGTCTTTGTTGTTCTGTTCTCTCCTCGATGCCATCGTTGTTCTTCCTCCTTTGCTCCGGCGGTCTCTTTCGGTCTCCCTCCCTGTAGACGCTTCTCGGTCATCGCTATTCTTCCTCTTTTGCTTCGGTCAGTCGCGATTCTTCCTTTCCTCCTTGCCTTCGTGTGTATGTAACTGTAAGTGAAAATTGAATCGTTCCTTTTTCTTATTTCATATAATTTTTTTTTATTTTGTATTATGTTTATGATTTATGCTTTTGTTTTTATTTTTGCTATTTTCTATCTTGGTTTTTTTTATGTTATGTATTTCTTAAATTTTATGATTCTATATTTTTTATATATGATTTTGTTTTTAATATGATTATGTTTTTAAGTTCTATTT